GTGATATATGAACAAGAAGCGTACATTCCAAAGTAAATTCATGTTTTTGAATATGCTTTATGACTGATAATACATTGATAAATAATATAGCACATTAATAAGTTTACAGGAAACATAATTTCTTTGAAATTAATGAAAAGTTTCACACAAGTTTACAAATACATGTTGGTAGGCTTGGTACCCAGAGTTCCTTGCGCGGCCTTGAGTTTGACGGAGAAAGATTGCCGACATGAGGAGAAACATTCACACGTAATTAAATAACTAAATGTTTCCTTTCTGAAAGTCAGACTCCTTTATAATAGCATATTGGATTAAAATGAAACTCACAATTCGATTAAATTGGGGAGCAATTAGGAGGAGGGTTAAAAATAGTTATTATAATTATTCTTTCACACTCTTTTCATCACATCCGAACGCATAACATGTTGCTTCGAAAACGTAAACAACAACAGCTGATTGTAAGTGTTTGCTTGTTATTCTTTGGTTGCTCTTGGCCATTTTAAATCTTATCATGTATTCAGTTGTAATAACATGATATTTGAATAAAGAAGCTTGTAATGTTAAGTTGGTTATTGGTAGTTCTTTCAAAATAGGATAATAGTTGGGGTTGCTTTGTCAGAACTTTTCTTGATTCTTCGGTAACGCCAGACAATTTGGGAAGTTTGCTGAAATTTCTTCATAGCCAAAATACACATGATTGAAAGTCTTTCTTCTGTCAATTATTCTTATGGATTTTAAATTATATTCACATTGGTGGTTAGGTTGATAGCCACCAGCTGATCTATATGATAACAAGTACTCAGTGATCTTTGTTTTGTTATTTTTAGTGTTATATTTTTTATTTGCTTTATTGCAAGTGGGCCTACTTTATTTTTATGAATGTTTAGTTGTATGTTTATTTTTTATTTTTTGCTCTTTTTTAGTTTATGATTTAATAACTACCTCCTGGGTATTTTGAAAATGTGAAAGACTGAAATATGTCCTGATTGCAAATACATTTAGTATGTTCAAATATAACATTAATATAACTTTGTTATAACTTTAATCTGATTACTTTACTGGACATATGTAGCATTATGTATGGTATAGTTGTTACAGATAGGAAACTTGAAAAGTTATTTTAGTCTTACATGGCTACTAGAGTTATTGGGGCTCTTTCAGTTTTATATAGTTTATGATTTGATAACTACCTCCTGGGTATTTTGAAAATGTGAAAGACTGAAATATGTCCTGATTGCAAATACAAATAGTATGTTCAAATAAAACATTAATATAACTTTGTTATAACTTTAATCTGATTAATTTACTGGACATATGTAGCATTATGTATGGTATAGTTGTTACAGATAGGAAACTTAAAAAGTTATTTTAGTCTTACATGGCTACTAGAGTTATTGGGGCTCTTTCAGTTTTATATAAGATTGTAACTGATAATTCACATCCCCTCTATAAGTTTTTACCTGATTTTTATCAACCTGCAAGAATTACCAGGAGTTCTATGACCCTCAATTCAATGACAATTGATGTAAGTCGATTGTCTACAAGTCAGTTTTCTAGATGCGTTTTTACTGTTATTTGTAGACTTTGGAACAGATTGCCTTCAGAGATTGTAACTTCTTCGACTCTTGATAAATTAAAAACGTCAGCTAACATGTTTTTCTTACATAATTAGCTGACTTTCTTTTATTCATTCTTTCTTAGCTGTATCTTTACCTGCACTGACACCTTTGGTGGTATAAATCTCGATTTTTTCAGTGTGGCTCATTATATAGCTTAATATAATAATAATAATAATAATAATAATAATAATAATAATAATAATAATAATTCACAATAGTACCAAGTGAAGCAGTGCTGTGTCCTCAGCACTTCACTTTTGGCAAGGAAACTACACAGATATTTAGCAAGCACTTGGATTGGTTTTGTATTTTATATTAAATAACCAAGGTGTTTGACGAGCTTTGTTTTGTCGTAATGTACATGTTGCAGGTATATTACTGGAGTATATGTGCAGACCATGGCAAAGATGTATTTATAAACATGATTTTGTGGCCTGTAATAAGCAAGTTTGGCCAAACCCTATATTTTTTGCAAAATAAATTTCTGTACCACATTGTTTTAATTTTTGCTTTCTTTGACTATTACCTTAGTTTTTCTTTATTTTTGTGTGTGTCAGTATTGAACCTCTTCCTGTAAAACAAATCCAAGCAATTAAAAATATTGATTACATTTCATCAACATAGTCATAACCATCACATGTACAGTTTATAGACTCCCTTGGAAAATAAGGAACCAATCCCAAGATACTGTCAGAAAGTATGTGATAGTTGTTTGTTGGTCTTTGCTTGAGTGCTAGATGAGCGCAAGAGGTAGCAATTGCTTGATTCATTATGTTATTGGACAAAATATATTAAATCCATTCCATTTAATGATTGCCTTGTAATTCTTTATACGTGTGTCCAGAGTTCAGATTTTAATTTATTTTCTGGTTATTTTTGTT